ATGCGGTCCTCTACGCAAGGGCCGACGTGGGCTTCGGTATCGGAGCCCCGCCCACTTCCCTTTGGCAGCACATTTGTGGCCATCTGCTTAAATTGCCGCGCCCGCGGCTCCCGGGGGGCTTTCCATCGCGGCCCCTGGGGTTGTCGTCTCTACAGCTGCTCGTCCCCGTCGTCCCGTGACCGCGGCTTGCGCCTTCTCCCCGACGAAAACCTCGTCGTTCTGATCGTCTGAGAGCTCAACGGTAAATGGGACAGTGCCCCGTTCGCGCAAGCGTCTCCGCACCCCATGTTCTTTGCAATTGCCTCCAACCACCCTCCTCCTGATTTCTCGCCTCGCCCGTGGAACTGGCCCACTAAACGAGCTCCTCCATCTCCGCTTAACATGTCGCAGTGACCAGATCGGATGTCCGATCAAAGTGGCCGGATCAGCTTTGGGCGTCCGCGCAATCCATTGCTTCAATGCCGTTGGAGGAAGCAGTGCCGAAGTGGGTGCCGCAATCTCACTCGGCGCCCGTGGCGCATGCATACTTCGCAGGGTTTGCTTCATCCCGAAAGGCGGTGGTGCGTCGAGGTCGGATCGCGGTGCGTCCGGCACTCTAGGTGGGTGGGTTGGCGTTTTGGAGGAATGTCTGTGGACAGGCGAGCCAGGCTGTGCTTTCACCGACATCGTCGGCCCACGTGCTTTCGTTGTCTCATCCGTTATACTTGCGCCTTCCATGCCTCGGGAAAAAAAAAACTCTGGAATGTCGGTGGTGTACGCATGGTGTGCGTTGCTGCTGCCGCCGCCTCTACCCGCCCCCGAAACGGATCCGATGTTCCCCGGGGGGCGCTCAGCGATGTGCCCGGCGGGTCGCGTGCGCTCAAGTGGGGCTCCGTGCTCAACTCAGGTGCGTTGAATTTGGTGGTGGATCGCAATTTGTAGATGCGTAGTGTGTTGAATACCCACGCCCAGGGCTTGGAACAATACTGTGGTAAGAATTTGGACGTTTGGTATGCCGAATCCAACCGGCTGCGCGTCGATGCGCACCATCAGCAGCCTGGCAAAGGTTTCGTCGATGCGCTCATTGTTGGCCACGTGGAAGTCGATGAGTTGAATGCCTGAGGTGAGCTGGCGCTCGTCCTCAATGTGTTCAAACTTACTTCCCAAGATGAGCATGTTGTGCGTTGCGGGTCGGTGTGGGTGCTACAAATAATCGCACCGATAATGGTGATGCCTGGACGGATGCGCATGGCAATCTTGCGCGCACGACCCCGTAACCCTCGCTGGAGGGCTGCAACTTGTTGCTGCGGGGTCATGCGAACACCTGTGAGAACCAACAAGCGTTAACCTCAAAAACAAATCCAGTGAACTGGCGGATTCCTGGCTGGACCCCAATGTGGGAGAGAACGCGTTTCACGGGCGCTTGCCTTGGGAACATTCGGAGTCGCGTTTCGAACCGGGGGGTGGGCCCCCCCCAAACACTCGGCGCCGTCGATGATAACCAGGGGGACTCCCCTCCCCCCAAACACCCCGCCTGCCGAACCCCCCCCCTCGGCGCGGGCGCCGGTGCCAGCGCTGGCGGCCGCCAGCAGCGCCGACGGCGGGGACGCAGCGATGATGACCAGAGGCAGCCCAAGGAAGGGCGGGGGGGGGGTTTCAACCCCCCCCCCCCTCGTGGCGCCTGGAAAGGGGGGTTCAAACCCCCCCCCTCCTTGGCGCCGGCGCTGGCGGCGGCCAGCAGCGCCGGCGCTGGCGCCGGCGACGGCGGGGACGCAGCAACGATTACCACCACTACCACCACCACCACCGCCTCATCCAACCACCACCACCACCGCCTCAACCCACCACCACCACCGCCACCAACCCACCACACAACCACCACCAGCACCACAACCAGCACCACCACCACAACCACAAATCCACAATTCACCATCACCACCACCACCAGAAAAACCCACCACCACTACCACCACCACCACCACAATCTACTACACCACCACCGCCACCGCCACCACCACCACCACTACCAGCAGCACAACCCACCGCCATCACCACAAACTATCACACCACCACCACCACCGCCACCACCACCAACACCAGCACCACCTCCACAAACCACCGCCACCACCACAACCCACCACCACCACCACCACAAACCACCACCACCACACCACACACACCACCACCAATCACCACCACCACCACAACTCACCATCACCATCACCACCACCACCCCAATCTACCACACCACCACCGCCACCGCCACAACCACCACCACTACCAGCAGCACAACCCACCACCACCACCACGATCCACCACACCACCACCACCACCGCCACCACACCCACCACCACCACCTCCACAAACCACCGCCACCACCACAACCCACCACCACCACCAACACAAACCATCACACACCACCACCAAACTACCACCACCACAATCCACCACCACAATCCACCACCACCACCACCACCACCAAACCACCACCACCACCACGCACCACCACCACCACCACAACAAACCACCACACCACCACCAACACAACCCACCACCACCACCACCACCGTCGTCCTTGTCGACGCTCCCCGCCGCCGCCGCCCGCCGCCGCAGGCGCCGGCGCCGGCCCAAAGAAGAAAATCGTCGACCCCGCCGCCGCCGCCAGCCGCCGCAAACACTGGCACGAGGAGAGGGGAAGCAAGGGAGGAAAAGGGGGGGGGGGGTCGAATCACCCCCCTCCGTCACGGGAAGGGTTGGGGTCCGGTTCCAACCCCCCCTCCCCCTCCAAGCGACCATAGAACGCGCTCTTTCCAATATGGGGGTGTATTGTTGTCGTTGCGTCCACCACGTTGCATGTATCCGATTGCGGATCCAATGCGCACCCGTCTGGTACAATAGGTAACCAACCCCGTACATTTCAGAATCGACTTGCTCTTTTCAGGCGCCGCATGTGGTCTCCGCGTTTGTGGCTGCGATCAGGCGTCGCGGTTGGCGGCTGAGCACGTTTCCGCCCGGGATGTTTCCACGCTGACACCGTTGAGAATTCCACGAATCTTTTTTCGATGGAATGCTGGCGAGAGAATGTTGAAACTCTCATGTAGAGTCTTGCGGTTAAAGACGCAAGACTGCCCCAGACGCCCAAACAAGGCTTCAAGACGACTCAACAAGCCCTTCCACTGCTCCAAAAAGACCACCGGAGAGCCCTAAAGAGGCTCCCGGGACGCAAGCATCAATATGTTCCATGCGGCTCTGAACAGATTTTAATATTATCGCTTTTTGGGGCTTCCAGCGCTCCAAGACGGCACCAGAGGCCCCGACGGCCCCAGAGGCTCCCAAGAAGGCCCCAAAAGAGCCCCAAGACGGCCCCACTGGGGCCTCGAGATGGGCCCAACGTGGGGAACCCAAACTGACATGTCGAGCCCTTCCCCCAAAGATGAACCCGGAGACCACCAGCAGCCCCACAAGATGACCCCAAAAGGCTTCCAGAGGCCAGAAAAGACGCGCCCAAGAGGGTCTAAAAATATATCCAGGAGGCCTTCCCAAGAGATCCCAAGCAGCCTCCAAGAGACCTCTTATCTTATCTACGACCCAAGCACGGTGGTTCGATGAACCGACAGCCACTATGTACATGTGCATGTGCGTCTTCACGTATCAGAATATCAATCGGACGACTTTGAAGATGTGGCAGTCCGGCTAAGTATCTCAAGTGGGACCACGACATGCGTCAAGTAGCGATCTACCGAAAAGGCGATTTACGCCAATCGCCGCACCATATTGTTGTTGCTCGATTCCGTCGTTGACATACAAATCCAACCGTCGGACACGCCACAATTAACCTAATTTCGCCGACGCAACCAAACGGAGCTATGGGGCGTTCAGCGACTGTGGTCCGCCTTCGCACGCAATTTCTCCCAGCCCGCGCGTTCCGCGCGCAACGCGTGCCGACATCAATTCAAGTGGACGACATTGCCTTCGCACCAACAACATTACACCTAAACGCACCGAGGCCCATACGGATAGTCCCGAAGCGGAGGGGTAAATATATCAACGATGCCACTGCCTTCGTGGCAAACACGTACAAGGTGTACAATCTCGGCCCGGATATGCTGACGCCAATCAACGTCGCCGCTAATGCCATGGCTCGGAGCCTCCACTGGTTCGCCTAACAATTCGCGGAACATGGGAAGACAAGTATTGTCTTCTGTTGCAGTAGCGACATCACTACCTATAAACGCAGGGTCATCACCTCTGCATGTGCACGGGTTCTTTTACGATGGTGACCGTCGCCCGTTTACTATTTTCAATCCCATTCTGTTCCGACGCAACCTCGAGTGATTCTGCGGTTTTTGCTGGTTCACGGGGCACCAACAAATCATGTTTATATCTATGCCTGCCCACGGGCGAAATATTGTATAACAACTTTGCGCATTTCCATGCAGCGCGAATTCGATTTCCACCTACGTTCCTGCATCCCGAACAATGAAGCAAATAGGGCTGGAACCGCCTACGTCTGGGAAGCTTCTCTCGCACCGTGCACAAATCTAGTGCTACGCTACGGAACCATTTCTTCTTGCAAACATTCTAAGCAATGATACCATGACCAATTGCACAATTCGGATCCGGTGAACGTGGCGAACTCGGGCCGTACAAAGGTCCCCGAATGGTCCACACAAAGAACAAGCAATATCTGCGAGATGTTGGTCATGGTCAGACCGCCATATCATTGCCAATGTGCGTCGAACCCAACACAATATTCACAATGCACTCCTCATGGGGCATGCCAGATCTGTCAAAATCAATATGACGATGCAGTGAAAAACAACGGCGACATAATCAACGCCAGCAAGGACAACTAAACCATGTCGGTGTAAGGAAAAGTATGCCATCTTAGAATATACCGGCGACGCGAGCTTCACATAATGTATATGTATATGTATATGTATATGTATTTGTATATATATATATATATATATATATATATATATATATATATATATATGCAAGCGCCTGGTGGCGAGCTCCTTGCCCCGGGTTCTTGATGCGTAACTGCTGCAATTCCAGCCCAGCTGCTGCAAAGATGTCAATCTGGCGCTCCGTCCAGCTCTCAAGCGCCTGCGCATCTTCTCTTCGTCCCTCCTGGAACTCCTCCTCCTCCTCCTTCTGATCCCCATCCTCGTCGACGTTCTCATTCTCATCATCCTCTCTGTGCACCCCGTCCTAATCGCTGCCCTCCTCCTTATCTTAGGTCTTCTCCCATGCCTCTCCATCCTAACCGCAATAATGCTTTGGCGCGTCCGTTTTGAAACAATGCCTGTCGATGAGACCCACTTCTCGCGTGCACGCAGAAACTGTCGCCGGAAGGAGCCCTCGAAACGCAAGTGCTGCAGGAGAGGGTGAAACAAGGAATAACTTAGGGAGCCAAGGCGGTTTTCTTGTGATGAAAACCAGTCTGTCGAAGAAGTGCTAGAGCCATGCAGCATGTACCCACGACCCAGGCACGGCCTCGGGATGGGCCGAAGGCAAGTGCACGTGGATCACGTGCGATCAATCATCACATGAACGTGTCTATAAGCGGGGGGTGGGGGTGGGGAGGGACGATCTATGTGTGTGTGTAGAGGGAGAAAGGGAAGCCATACACACATACACACATAAATACGTGTAGTCCCACCAGCCCTCTGGGCGACAGGTGGTCCAACGATGTTTCTCTTCCCTCTTCCACAATCCCTTCTTCCCCTTTGGGGAAAGGTTTACCCCTCGCCCTCCCCCCTCCCCTGGACCTGGACGAGGCGGGCGGCCCGCGATGTGTCAGATGGTCCTTTTCGCACGAGACGGCTTGAGAGCCCAAGATGGCCTCCAAGATCGCTCAAGATAGCCCAACATGGCTCAAAGCAGCTTCCGACATGCCCCCAAGACGCCCCAAGAGGGCCACAAGACGGTTCCAGGTGCTCTTGAGACCCTTCAGGACCCCTTCCAAAAACTCAGAATCCATCAGCAACCGAAGGACAATCAATGATTTTTCCCCACATGTTTCGTGATGTTCTGGTTTTCTTCCCTGCCGCGTCGCACCCGCGTCTCCCTCACCTCCCCTCCTCCTCTTATTTTCTCCCTTCGCCCGCGCGCAACGCATACACGGCACGTACATGAGACACGCGTCCACACACAGCCGCACGCATGCACACACTCGCACACACAACATACACCACACAACGCTAGTGCACGCCTGGCGTGTTCACTGCGTCATACACTCAAGACGTATGCGCAATATTTTGGGCACCCACACATGAGACACACGTCCCGGTACGGCCGCACAAGCATCATCCACATGGAACGCATGCTAACATACAGCCGCACACGCATCATAAACATGACACGCACACCACGCAACACATGCGCGACAATAAGAGGCGCGGCACTTTCTCGACACCAGAGGGGGGCGCAAGGGGTTGTCCATCAGCGTGGCCTCTATGCGTGCCAGGGTCGGACAGTGTGGCAGGCGTGCCACTTTGTCGCCACCAGGGGGGGTGCGCAAAGGGTGGTACCTCAGCGCGGCCTCTATGCGTGCCAGGGTCGGAAACCGTGGTAGGCGTTGCATTTTCTCGACGCCATAAGGGGGTGCGCAGGGGGTGGTCCTTCGGCGCTGGCTCTATGCGTACCAGGGTCGGAAAGCGTAGCGGGCGTTGCATTTTCTCTACGCCACAGGGGGTGCGCAAAGAGTGGTCCTTCAGCGCGGTCTCTATGCGTGCCAAGGTCGGAAGTTGTGGCACGTGTGGCATTTTTCTCTCGATTCACCCTGGTTGCTCGCTTTGTTTCGTGTCGCTTCGTCCCTTGTCCCGTCAGCTCTTATGGGCAGGGCTTCTGAATGGGCTGCTGGGGATACTTTTTAGTCAGCGGCCGCGGGCGAGCGCGCCAGCCGCGAGTCAGGTCAAAGCGGGCTACGCAGAGACTATTTAGGCAGAGGCGGCGCGCAAGGCCACAGCTAACGCGGCAAGCCGAGGCCTCATGCAGCTGGTGGGGATACGCGAAGAGTGAAGAAGATGTACGTACATATTTATGGTATAATGGAACGAGAGAAATAAACAGACAAATCTGTATCTAGATGGAAGAGGAATGAGGAAAGCTACAGAAGAGAGGGAGAGAGAGAGAGAGAGAGAGAGAGCGAGAGAGAGAGAGAGAGAGATGGAGAGAGAGAGAGAGAGAACAGGGAAACAGAGACAGAGAGAGAGAGATATGGAGATAGTGGGATATATATATATAGAGAGGGATATATAAACATGTGCCATATATAAACATACATACATACATACATACATACATACATATATATATATGTGCGTATATATGCATGCATATATATATGTATGTATGTATGTATATATATATATATCTAGAGAGAGAGAGAGAAATAGAGAGAGAGAGAGAGAGAGAGGGAGAGAGAGAAACAAAAAAGAGAAAAAGAGAGAAAGAGAGAGATAGAAGGAGAAAGAGAGAGAGAGAGAGAGAGAGAGATAGAGAAAAAGAGAGAAAGCGAGAGAAAGAGAGAGAGAGAGAGAGAGAGAGAGAGAGAAAGAGAGAGAGAGAGAGAGAGAAAGAGAGAGAGAGGGAAAAAGAGAGAACGTGACAGAGAGAGAGAGAGATAATCAGAAATAAATAAACCAAGAAGTAGAGCGAGAGAGAGAGAGAGAGAGAGAGATAAAGCGCGCACTCGCGCACGCTGCAGCGCGCTCTCGCGCGGTCCGCATCCCAGCTCCCCATCACCTGTCCCGCCTGCGCCAGACGGAGAACTCCCCCCCTCGCCCCCGCAACCCACGCGACCCCTTCCAAGCGGGGGGGGGGGGCTGCTTGCGTCGCGCCCACGGTGGCCTCGCCCCGCGACTGGGGACCGCGAGTCGGCGGAGGCCTGGCTCCGCGATTGGTCGGGGGTCTCGCTCCGCGACGGGACCGGACACGGTGCAGCGGTGCAGCCCGCTTCCCCCGCGTTGTGTGCTCACGCACAGGATCTCGAACAATTGCTTTGAGGTGTGCTGTTCTCTCGCAGGGCTGGGCCTGAACGTTGGTCTTCTTTTCGTTGTTCGTTTTGCTCTGCCTGCTTCCTGTACCTCCCTGCCAACACGAACAACAAAACACAGCCGAAGTCCAGCAACACAGCGTTCACGTCCAGCCCTGTTCCCTCGATCGGAACGTCTTCGGTCCTTCACGAGCCGTGCTTCCGCTGCAGCGCGGGCTACATTGCAAGGTCGATGCTTTTTGCCCCCGTCGTCCAGAGGTGGCGCTGCTGGCCCCACGGGCCACCTGTTTGGAGCCCGTCTCGCATCTTTCCCCCCCCCTGCCTTCCCTGGATGCTCCTGCTCGACATCCTCCTCCTCCTCCCCCTCCCCCTCCTCGTCCTCCAACTCCTCCTCCTCCTCCTCCTCCTCCTCCTCCTCCTCCTCCTCCTCCCCCTCATCATCCCTCCCCCCCCTCCTCCTCCTCCTCCTCCCCCTCCTCCTCCTCCTCCTCCTCCTCATTCCTCATCCTCCTCATCCCTCATCCTCCGCCCCTCCACGCCTCCGTCCCGACTGCACGCGCAGCAACGATAGGTCAAATCCTGCAGTGGCCACGTGGGGGTCAAGGTCCATTACAGTGGGGGCCCAGCCACAAGACACCTTCCACAAGAAACCCAACCCTGAGACCCCGCGGCGTCCATCGATTTTTGATGTGGGCACGTCACGCTTTCCACAGCAAAACCATCGAAACCCAAGAAACCCAAGGCACCCTGCAGGCAAGCAGGGTGTTTTCTGGCATGGCCCCCCACTGTAGGACACCCGAATCGGCGGCAAGAACATGGTTCGACGCAAAGGGAGGAGATGAGCGGGAGGGGTCGGATGCCAGATGTGGCGCCAGCTCGCGTACCCTGACTCCCGACTGCACACGCAGCAACGATAGGTCAACTCCTGCGGTGGCCACGTGGGGGTCAAGGTCCATTAGGACACCCGAGGCGGCGGCAAGAACATGGTTCGACGCAAAGGGAGGAGATGAGCGGGAGGGGTCGGATGCCAGATGTGGCGCCAGCTCACGCACCCTGTCTCTCTTCCTCCCCCCTCCCCTGTCCGCTCCCCTCTCGCCTCCTCCAGAAAGTGGCAACTTCGCGCCTCCAACGGGAACTTCGCAGAGAACACCCAATTCGGCATTGGCACGCACCTTTCCGCGAGGAGCTCTGCGGTCGTCTCGTCCTTCCCGATCCGCACACCTCTATCATGATTCTGGCGCTGCTCATGGTCGTCTGGCTCGCTTGCTCGACTTGCTGCCTTCGACGTACTCGTGCTGCTTGTTTCACAACGCTTTGGTCGACGATCTCGTCATTTGGCTCCCACTGTCGATTTACCTGCTCTCTTAGCATCATGTTCTTTTCTTCTCTACTGGGATCGCCACTTCCTGTAATTTTATTTCTTTCTCTTTGTCTCTCTGGTCCTGCCTCTGTGGCATCTCTTAGTCCCTCTGCCGCGTCCGGGTACATGTATTTTCCCCTGTAGCTCCTGTGCAACATCCTTCACATCCTGCCGGCTGCCAAATGATCCAGGATATGGAAATGGGGCCAGGAAGGACGGAACCGTCGTCAATGGAGCGGGGCCCTGCGAGAAAGGCACGAGAAGTAGCAAAACGGATGAGGACGCGCTGAGCGCTCAAGAAGAAGTCGTGGACTTATCAGGGCATGTGCGAGCAAAGGCGCACGAACGAAAAGAATAGAGAGCGGTGGGAGGGTGGGGTGCGCGGGGTACAATAAAAATACTTACTTGCGCCCCTGCCCAAACCTGTGGAGAGTAGCCGCTCGAGGCGTCCCAGAAATTGCCTGCGCGACTGCAAAGCGGAAGGCGGTCGCAGGCGCTTGAGCATGACCCCATGCGAACTGGCGGAGCAATTGGGGGAGTGGATGCAGGATGCGTAGGCGTTTGCAACAACTGCACAGCTTGGACAAGAACATGATCATGCACGGGTCTACGTGTAGGATGGGCAGCCCACCGTGTAGAAACCACCTCATGGCACAAGAGACTCTCGGACCAGACACAATTTGTAGGATTTGTATGGCACTGGGCGACGGCAAATCTCATGCCCCGACTCGTGTCTGCGAGTGTGTCGCTGCATAAAGAGCTTGGGCGAGGTGTGCCAGACGAGAGAAACAATAGCCAGAGGGGCACAACGGAAATCAAGAGCAATGCTAACGTTGTTACAGCCGAGCGCTTGAATGATCATCCATGAAGTTCGTTATTATGTGGCGAGTTTCGTCTTGGCCAGGGCTTCGATCGTTGAAATCCGCCGACCTTATTGGCATGTGGGAGAGGCTTTTCCGTCTTCCCCACAGCGTCGTCGCCTCTTCTGCTTTCCGAGGGCTCCCTACAGAAGTGCACACAAAAATTGAACAACGTCGTCCTTCCTTCAATCGAAGGGACGCCCCTTCCCTTGATCCCTTCCCCGCCGGGGGGGGGTCCCAAGGCAACTCCCGGGGGGGGTGTCCCCCCTCGGATACGCAGCCCCCCGCCTCTCATCCTCCTGCGTCCTGGGGCTCCGTTGGCCCTCCGGGGCCGTCTGCGGGCCCTTTGAGTCTATCTTAAGGCTCCTTGGAGATCTTTCGCCATTTCTACACTCTCTTGGCAGCCTCTAGCGGCACTCTTGACAGTCTCTGCGGGCGCTTTTGGACCTCGCTTGACGCCGTCTTGGGACCCTCTCGGGCCACTTGAGGGCGCTCTTTGCCTATCTTGGCACTCTCTGCAGCCGTTCCCGAACCTGAGGAGGCCTCTTGAGCTGTCTTCGGACGACCTTGCAGGCATCTGGCGCCGTCGTCGAGCCATCTGAGGGCATCTTGGACTCCTCTACCTCCATTGTCTTCGTCGTCGCTGCCTACAGGGTCGGCGGCATCGGCCGTAAGGCCTTCGCAATATATAACGAAATCAAAACCATACACTACATTTTTTCTTCTAGCTCAGCTGAATTTCAGGCGCGTGTGCACTGCGCGGTGCCAGCGTGGAAGTTGTAGGGTTGCCAGGGTATCCAAGCCGACGAAGTAGCACTGGACCTTGGCGGATCATCAGACTTCGTCTCGATTCTGCTTGCCACATCCCCCCACCATTAGGTCGGGCAAGTCCTTCTACAGGGGGATTTGGACGAAAAATCAACCATATTCAAAACACATTCAAACATTGCCAAAACATACTCAAACATCGTCCCCATACTATTTTTTTGACTATTTTTGAATACTCCTCCTGTAGAGGGACAGGCCCGACTTAACCCCACCACTTCCAACACTGCTCCTAGTATCTCTCCTGGCGTGGCTTCCATGTCCTCGAGGAGGGCACACGCAGATCAAAACTATACGGCAATGTGCTCGCACGCGACACACACATACACTCATCAGGGATGAGCCTCAACTTGAAGCTCTCGTGCTTGTACGTGCCAACTCTTCAATCTCATACCGCTGGTGCCGTACAGTGTCCACGCCGAGCCGAAGCTGGATTTATGCGATGAAGATCAGCAGCAACCGGAGGAGGGAGGAGGAGGAGGAGGAGGAGGAGGAGGAGGAGGAGGAGGAGGAGGAGCAGCTGGAGGAGGAGGAGGAGGAGGAAGAGGAGGAAGAGGAGGAGGAGGAGGAGGGGGAGGAGGAGGCAATGTGCCTCGAACCTCCACTTTTGAAGGCCAATCGAAAGGTAAATCTTTCAAATCGATTCGTGGGTCTCACTTGGGCTCCCGACAGACCGCGCTGCGCTGCACGACCCACTGGCGCAACACACTGCCGACAGCTGCGCACCTTGCAGCACACAGCCACGGCGAAGTCTCACTTGGGGTCTCTGGAAAACCCCACTCCGCTGAACCCCACGGACGCAACAACTCTGGCTACGATTGCATGCCTCGCATCACCGACACAAGAACGCGTTTCACGGGAACTTGAGTGCGGAACATTCCTAGGAAGTCGAAAACCGGCCTCCCCCAAAACATTCCAAGCACTCGGCGAACAGGACCCCCCCTTCACACAGAACCCCCCTCCCCACAATCCCGCCACCGCTGGCGCTGGTCGTCGTCCTCGTCTCCGTCTCCGTTGTCTTCGTTTGCCCCCCGAGGAGGGGGTTGGGATTCAACCCCTTCCAATGGCACCAGTCGTAGTCGTGCTCGTGGTCGTCGTCGCTGGCGCCAGGGAGGGGAGGGGGCGGTCATCGTCGTCGTCGTCGTCGTCGTCATTTGCTGGCGCTGGAAGGGAGTCATCGTCGTCGTTGTTGTCGTCGTTTGCCAGCGCCATGGGGGGGTCATCGTCGTCGGTTGCTGGCGCAAGGGGGGGGATCGTCGCGGCGACGAAGACGATGACGACGAGGACGACGACGACCAGCGCTAGGGGGGGAGGTTGACCCCCCCCTGCTTGAGGTGGGGTGTGCGGGCTTGGACCCAATCTCCACCTCTTCAGGAGAGGGGGGTTCCTTCTCTTTTTTGGATCTGGGAAGTTTGTGTGTGGGTCTCGAACACTGGCGAAGCACAAGTCGACACAATTGCCACTGACGCAGTCGATCCCGACTCTTCCGTTACCGCAAAGCCTGGTTCCCGCGGTTCTCCGACCACGCGGTGATGCTCGTCTCGCCCACTGCCGGGAGTGTTCCCCGCAAGTTGACTACAGATGTCAGCTGCCAACACCGCCGCCCATCCTCCTTAAGCTACCATGGACCTGCGCTTGCCGTATGTCGCGCTCGATCACATCTTCCAGGCCCCTGACGCCGATCTCGCTGACCTCCTGCAGCCCGTCACCCGCCACGCGAGCTTCACGGCGACCCTCTGGGCGCCGAAGGAGCCGCGGTCCCAGCTCCCCACGCACCGGACCCCCCCCCCCAGCGGTCCCAGCCAGCCTCGTTCTGCCCGCCCTTGGCCGCCTCATGCGGCAGGGCAGGGCCGCCCTCTCCGCCATGCTTGCCGACTGGTGGGCACACTGGCCTACCAAACACGGGCAGCCCTGCATCGCTGCTGGCCTCGAGGACGCCTGCGCCGCGCAGTACGACCTCACCCCTACAGGTCAACTCGCCGGCTGGCTGCGCACCAGAGGATGTGCCGGCCAGCCGATCCCCCTCGTGCCAGCGCTGGCACACCGATCGCGCACTTCACTTCGCGGTCCAGCTTCCTCCCTGGCGCCGTGGGGCCCGGGCCTCGCAGCACCGCCCCGTCCGAAGCCCATCGCATGGGCCTCGAGCCCTTCTGGGCCACCAAGACTCTCGGCGGCGCCAGGGACGCCAGCGGCGTATGGCGCGAGGCCCCGAATGGCATGGAACGCATCCTCTGGCAAAACTGGGAGGACATCTGGGGCTTCCGCCCCCGACATGTCCCCCGTCCACCACCGAATCTCGCCCGAACAGTACCTCCACGGCCGGGACCGGCTCAACCTCCCCGAAGCCCCGTCGCCCTGCTGGGCCGCGCTCGCCGCCGTTGTGCCTGCCCCTCCAAGAGTGCCCCGAGTGGCGACGGACAGCCGTACGAACCCTAAGGCCTACGACGTTGGCTGCCGGTTCGTCGCCTGCCTCCCCGCGCAAGGGCGCCGCGCGGCCCACGCTGCTCCCGACCTCCTCGACGTCGTCCTGGGGCTGTCTGTCGACGTCCTCGTCTGGACCCCCAGGACCCCCAACGCTGAGCGGGCCAACGACCTTCGGCCGCTCCAGCTCCCTACGCGCTTCCGACGGCTCTACGGCGCCGCTATCGCTGGCCTCTTCGGATCGGCCGCCGAAGCGGCGCTACGCCCACATGAAGCCGCCGTTCGCGGCGGCCAGCGCGGCCCCAGCATTACCACTGCCTCTGCGCGCCTGGGCTCGAACCTTGGCCCCCCTTCTGGGCCCAGGCCCGCGTGGCGCGTCCTCCTCGGCGCACGCACAGACGCCGTCGAGGACTACATCCTCGAGTGCGCCGACACGCCCGCCCCCCCCCCCCCACCGTCCAGCGCCACCCTCTTCGTGGACCAGAGCACGGCTTTCGAGCCTCTCTCATGGGCGGCGGCGGCTTGAGAATGCGCAGACGTGTGCAAAGTAACAGCGCTGGCAACGCCGCGCGGCGCGGCTGTCGGCGGCGGCAGAGTGCAGCAAACAGTTTTGCTTGCTGGAGAAGGTCCTACACGGGCGGCGGCTCCCAGCCGGGCTGAGCCTGGCCTTTCTCTCCCATCGCCAGGGGCAGGCCTGTGCACTTCGCACCCCAGCGCCCACCGAGGACCCCCATCGGGCGCCTCCCGCGGCCCGGCGGCGTGGGGGGTGCCGCCTCGCCGCTCGCTTGGGCCGTGGCCTACGACCCACTTGCACGACGGTCGGAAGAAGTGGGGAGAAGCACAAAGCAGGAAGGCGGGAAATGCAGATTGGGCTCGCGGCCGCCCCCAAAGAACACCCGCGACACTGACAAGAAGCAGGTTACGACTTCTGGGTCCTCGCCCTGCGGCGCGCAGCAGCCCTGGGTCGCTCGGCCCCATCGGCCGCCCCCTGCCTGGCTGGTTTTGGCTGTTTCCTGTTGTCCGTTGGTTGTCCGTCGGTTGCTCTCGGCTCCTGCTCCTCCTCCTCCTCCTCCTCTTCCTCCTCCTCCTCCTCCTCCTCCTCTTCTTCCTCCTCCTCCTCCTCCTCCTCCTCTTCTTCCTCCTCCTCCTCCTCCTCCTCCTCCTCCTCCTCCTCTCTTTCTCCTCCCTCCGACGGCGACGGACGACAAGCGACGACGACGGTGGACGACGACGACGACGGCCCAGAGGGGGTCCAGGCACAACCGGAGCAACCGACGGACCACCGTCGGCAAACCGAAAATAACCAAAACGAGCCAGGGGGGGGTGACAGCTGAGTGGCCGAGCGACCAAGGGTCGGCCGAGGGGCCAAACGCGACCAGAGCAACCGACGGACAACCGAAAACAACTACAGGAGGGGCAGGCGGGACGCCGAGCGACCGAGGGCTAGCGGAGGGGAACGGCGCGACCAGAGTGACCGACGGACAACCGACGGACAACCGAAAACAACCAAAATCAGCCAGGGAAGGGAGGGGCAGCCGAGAGACCGAGCGACCGAGGGGCGGCCGCGGGGCCAAGCGCGACCAGAGCAACCGACGGACAACAGACGGACAACCGAAGACCAGCCAGGGAACGGGCCGCCGAGAGATCGAGCGACCGAGGGCCAGCTGACGGGGCCAAGCGCGACCGGAGCGACCGACGGGCAACCGAAAGCAACCACAACATGCCAGGGAGGGGGCCTGGCGCGACAAGAACAACGGACGGACAGCCGCCGAAAGCAACCACAAACAGCCAGAACCAGCCAGGGAAGGGGCCGCCGAAGGGCAGTGCAGAGCAACCGAGAGCCAGCCGAGGGGTCATTCGCGAACAGAGCGGACGACGGACAACGGACAACAACCCGAAACAAGCAAGGTCATCCAGGGAAGAGGCCAGACGAGCGGCCGAGCGACCGAGGGCCAGCCGACGGGCCAGGAGCCACCAGAACAACCGACAGACAACGGACAGTCACACTACCGAGGAACCCTACATACCTATTTCATGGTATGTGCGCACCACCGCTACGACCTCTACTAATTCGACTACTGGTACTACTACCACCACTACTACCACGACAACGACGATTACTACTACTGCTGCTGCTACTACTACTTCCACTACTACTTCCACTACTACTACTGCTGCTACTACTACTACTACTGCTGCTACTACGACTACTCATACTTCTATTACCAATCATACTATTATTTCGACTGCTACAACTATGAGTGCCACCGCTACGACTAATACCGCTACCACCAATACTACCTGTTCTGTTATTGCCACTACTACCATTACCACTACCACCACTACCGGTACGACTACTGCCATTACTACTACTACTACTACTGCTACTACTACTACTACTACTACTACTACTACTACCACTACCACTACCACTACCACTACCACTACCACTACCACTACCACTACCACTACCACTGTTACTACTACTACTACTACTGCTACTACTACTACTACGACGACTACTACTACTACTACTACTACTACTACTACGATTACTACTACTTGTACTACTACTA